TTGTTTACCTGTTTTGTTTTTTTTTTTATAAACACTTTCTTATTTTGCAAGTTTGCTTCGCTGGGTAGGAGGGGGTTCTTGCAAATTTAGAACCAGAGCTTGTAAAATAACAGATAAGTAGCTTTGTCATTTGCTTTTCTTTTTCATTAAACTAATAACTTTCTTTCTTTTGTAGGCTTAGTTAATAGTGGCATCGTCGTTAATGAAGTATGGAGATTTTGGAATTTTGTCCTTTGGCGCTGTCATTATGGAGATTTTGGGCTTTCTTCGTTTTGAACCTGTCATTTATAGTATGAAGATTCTGGTTGTTGTTTGTGGAAACTTTAGTTTTCATTAGTAATTTTAAGCTTCACTGTTTGGTTTGCTGAAATGAGTATATTGGTTCGGTATCATTGTTGGAGTCTTTAGTATTATAAATTAGTAGTTTTTCTTTCTTTGTTCACTTCTTTTTTTTTCCTCAAATTAATTCTTTCATTTTCTAGGTTTCCTTTGCTGAAACAGATATGTCGCTTGGTATCTTTGTTGGGGCCTTCGTCACTTGTCTTGATGTTATAAGATAAGTAGTTTTTTTTTTCTTGTTTTCTTGTTTGCTTCTTTTTTCTCGAACTAATCTTTTTCTAGCTTCATTAGAACAACTAGTAGGTCGCTTCAGTTCGAAACTTTCTCTGGTGGATTGCAGAAGTTTTTGTCTTCGCTTCGATGTTGCTCTTGTTGTTTATTTTACCACTTTGATGCCGTTATTGAGACCTCCGTTGGTGCATCTTGTGCTTTCTTCATTTAAGCCTTCGCTTTGTTGTTACTAGAGCTTGTTATAAACATCATTTGTAGGTGGCCTTGGATGCTACAGTGTATTGAAAACGTTTATCACGTGACGATTTAATATTAGCGATTATAGTCGTAGTTGTTGTAGTTGGTTTGTGGTTAGAGTTAGTAGTTGAATTTTTTTTTTTCTTTGTAATTGATCGTGCTAAAAATAATAAAAAATTGTTATTATGAAATCATAATTATGTAAAAAAGTTAAAATTGATTTTGCAAAATAAATTGATTAGGTATATAATAAAGATGCATCATGATGCAGATGCATTATTTTGTAAATTTGCACAAATTTTCGTAGACTTACGTAGGTTTGCATAATTTTGCCTCCTCAAGTTTGCATATTTTTTCGTAGATTTGTAATTTTGCCTCCATAGTATTACGTAATTACTATAATGTAAATTTTCGTAAATCTTACTCTTACGTAATATTCCGTACTAATCGTAAGTTTTCGAAAGATTTACAATGTATAATTATTTACAGAGGTTTACGCATATTACTTTTGGTGATGTACAACTTACAAGTGTATGTCGATATTTAGTCTTATTGTAATATATATTAGTAATCTAATCTTATTAAATTATGTATTTGATATATTTGTTACTGAATCTTATTATTCCTGAAATCTATAACTTAACTGAATCGGCCAAACAATCATTTGGCTAATTTTTATTAGGTGTTTCAGAAATTATAATAATAGCTGTAATTTAGCTATAATGCTGTTTACAGCTATTATCATAATTCCTGAAACATCTAATAAAATTAGCTAAATGATTTTTTAGCTGATTCAGTTAAGTTATAAATTTCGGGAATAATAAGATTTAGTAACAAATATATCAGATAGTAATTTAATAAGATTAGATGACTAATATAATTTATCTATAACTATATAATAAAAATATTTGTGTATAACAATAATGTTTAGATTACTAATATAAATAATTTAATTAAATTGTGTAACATTAAATCTGTTATTCTGATTTGTCAATAAATTCTTTAAATTTATACAAAGTTATTAAATAAAGATATCTTCAAGGCTTAAATAAAGTTGTAGAAGAAATAATTCTAAGTCAAATGGAGTGGTTCTTGAGATATCTTGGGTTAAAGGCGCGAACTAAGGATCATCAAAGTCACTGTTACACAAAGTATCAATTTTGATAATCTTTATGTTTAGATCTTTAATCCCACATAACATAATAACTACTGGCCTGATTTTGATGATCTAACCACCATTTGACTCAAAATTATCCCCTCTACAACTTTACTTAGAGCTTGAAGATACCTTTACTTAATAACTTCTTGTATAAACTTAAAGAAATTATGATTGAACCTATTTTGGGTTTAATGTAACCTACTTTAGAATCAAAATACAGTATACAAAAAGTAGTTTTTTGTAATTATCTTGACAACTAGTAGTCTAATCTGGATGAATTTTTTTTTAAATAAAAGCTCTCAGTGAGACACATCCAATAAAAATGAGTTTATTTAATTCTAATTACTAGATTCTAAAATATTTAAGAACCAATAAATTTATCTCACCTTTTTAACATTAAAAAAAAAAAAAAAAAAGAACCACTAAATTTTTAATTTTAATAAATTAAATCAAAATTAAACAAAACCAAATTATAATCTATATTAGAGATAAAATTATTTAAATTAATTTGCTTTAGATTTAAATTTT